TTGAATTTACACTAATATTTTTATAATTACTGTTAAAATTGTGTGTTGCCAATATTAAAAGTATAGTTTTTCAAAGCTTCTGCTTATCTTAGGATTTTCACATTTGTAGGTCTCTTGTGTCATAGACTCCTTTAGTCTGAGAGCAGAGATTTGTAAACTCTGTAGGTAAATTGTTCCTTTATTAAAATTGTCATTCTTAATAATAGGGTAGCCATAAAACAAATTAGGGCAAAAACTGGGATTGTTGCATAAGAGGAATAGATATTTTTAATTATATAGAATAGATATTTTGAATTATAAAATTACATAAGAGAAATCACAAATTTCATGATGTTTTAATGATATTTGAAATTTTCTTCATTTTTTCCCCCTCAAAACTAGAGGAAGTTTTTTAGGGAGAAATTATTTGAGTGTTTTTAAAAACTAATTTGGAAATGTCTATTAAAAGTATTCTTCAATACTCTTCGTTTCCCCATATGGAGATATGTGTAGCTATTTGTGCACATAGAGGTTATACAAATAAAATATACTCTGAGAAATTGTTCTTTGGATCTTTTTCAAATTATTTGAAGTCAAATGTAAATATTATCCTTTTGTAGGTGTGAATTAATCATAACTTATTTTGCATAAAAATATTCTTTTATACATTTGTATTCACTTAAAATACCTTCTATATAATTTTCTTAAAGGAAAGATTAATTACCCTTCTTTATGTGTGTTATTTTTAAATTATATAAAAACAACTATACATTTAAAAAAGATCTTTTTGTAAATCTATATTTATCAATAGCTACTTTACTTTTCAAAACAGTGTTTTTCTTTGCCACTTAAAAATTCATATTAACTTAAGCTATATATTACTTGTCTAGATAAAAGAAAAAATGACACGTTCCTAGCTTACATTTCTCATATCTTCTGCATGTTTATTCACTTTTATTCATTCCAATAATAATTTCATGTCATAACAGGAAATTTATTCAATTAATCAAACATTCATTAGGTGCCTACTGCATACAGACTACTTTTCCAGGTATTTAGTATGCAGAAACTTCTGCCCTCCTGAAACTTACATCTAGTAAGCAAGATAAATAAATATGTTTAGGCTAGAGAGTACTAAGAAGAAGAAACAAAATGGGGATGAGGATATATGAAATATAGGGGGTATTGAAACTTTTAATGGATTGAATTGGAAGGCTTCACTGAAAAGGCTTCACAGAGAAAACCCAAAGGAGATGAGCCCTTCAGCTATCTGGCAGAAAGCCTTCCAAGCCCGGAGGACATCCAGGAAGCCAATAAGAAAGTATGTGTGGGGAGCCTGGGTCATGGCGTTACATAGGGGAAGAAGTCAGAGATACAGGATTCAGGAGCAAGGTCATGTAACAAGTATTTGTTTGATCTAGATAATTATCTTTTTATCTTAGTCTGTAATTTTCCTGAGAATTAATGTTTCTGTTCTTTCTTGCTCTGTATAGATTGCATGCTTTTCCTTTTATGAATTAAATAAGCAGTTTAAAAAATCTATTACCATTTATTAGTGATAGCATATATACTAATTAGTCAAAAATTTGTTCTTTTGGGAAAACATGATCTCATTTTTCTACATGCCATTTAATTTCATGGTTGAAATAAATTTAATATAATTTCTTCTCAGGCTGCAGATCTTTATCACTGTCCTGTCAATGTGATTAACAATTCAATTGCCTTCTGCTGTTTAATATAATATTCCTCTTGTCATTTTCTAGGGGTTTTTTCCCCAAATTTCTACCATAGAAGCACTATTTTACATTAATAACATCCATTGGCATCTTAAAAGAAAACAATTAAAAATTTAAAAAACTAAAATTGAGAGTTAAGACTTCTCTTAGGTATTCTTCCAGAATTTATTTTCTCTGGCTCTCTTTTAAGCCAGAGTAAATTATTTGTTTTCTGTGAAATGACCAGGAACCTAAGTAAATAAATTAAATCTAATTGGGAGATGTCAGAGGATTTTGAACTCATATTGACTTTAATGAATTGAAGAATTAGAATGTATATCAAGATAGACATTTGAAGTCAGAAGATTCCACTGTTTAGCTTCCTCACTGAATACTTGTGTAGCTCTTTCCGAACTTCAGTTTCCTTTCTTGTAAATGGAAGCTTTATTAACATACTGTTTTGAGAATGTAATTGCATAATATATGTGAACACTTTTAAAAAACCTAGGGTTAGTATTCTCTATTCTATTAGGCTGTCTAATGCATGTCTTAAATCTTTGTTAAATTTTAATATTCATTGGCATTTTTCTGTCTGGATAACTTCTAGCTTTTTCCTTTTGGACTAAAGGTCCCCTTAATGCTCTTTTCTGAAATGGCTTCTACAATGTAAATGAACAAACAAGTCTTGGCTGTCACCAAACAGCACCATGGTGATTTTACTCTAAAGTTGTAGTGACCTCTGGCATGTATTTCAATAAGAATTTATTTGACCTCACTTTGTTTGGTTTTTTTGTTTGTTTGTTTGTTTGTTTGTTTTTGGTACCTGGGATTGAACTCGGGTCCTTGTGCTTGCAAGGCAGGCCACTGAACTGCTGAGCTAAATCCCCAGCCCATATTTGATCTCACTTTGAAGACAGATGTTAGCAATTGTTAGTAGGCTTGGTTGGAATTTTTTGGTCGCATTGAACTTTCCTTCATTAGGATCCAGAAACAGCAGTGCATTCCTACCTCACCAGTATTCTTTGGGCTTTCTGAAAACTAAGAACTTCACTTAGCAAACCTTTAGTTAAAAGTATATGAAGCACTAAGTTAAGGGGAGATAATTATATGAACACATTGCTTCACCAGCACAGGGCAACAGAAGCTTTGAGGAGAGGACATTTACAAGTGCATACTGCTGCTAGGTTGGAGTGTTTGGGGCACCCCCAACAACTTTAAAGTTTTATGTGAAAGAATCAGAGTAGAGTGGGGGTCTCCAAACTTTGTTGCACATTAGTCAAATGGAGCTTTTAAAACTCCTAATGTCCAGGTGATTATCACTGTGCCAGAGTCAGGAAAGTGTGGCTCTGACCTCTGTTCTTTTACTACCTTGTGTTGTTTCTCAGACTTTAGTACCATTAGTGATAGTTTGACAGTCATATTAATAAAAACACTTGAAACTAGAGGGTAATTTTCTTGGAGTAGATTAGTAGTCTACATTTTTATAGAGTTCATACTGTCTTATATACTCTTATGTTGTTGGAACTTTTTAGTTTCACTGCTGGCCTATTCTAGATATGTTATTTTCCTCTATTTACTACAGATACTTACTTGACAGCTTTAAAACTGTCTTTTTATTTTTCTCTATCATAGTAGCTATTATAGATTGGCCTAAATTTGTGGAATTAGTATGTATCTGAAGAAATTAATTGCCTAATTCTATCATGGCCACAGTTATATTTACTGTAGTATGGAAGATAATATGTATATGAGAAAAAAACCCATACCTGTTGCATTACTAATCATGAAATAAGTGAATAAGCATTTTCCCAAATAGTAGTGTTGTTCTTAATGTTGACAAGAGCTAGTTTTGCCTGTACACCCTTCCACATTTGCCTAAGGATTGATATAAGTTCAAGTGGTCACAGTATGATCTTAAAAACATTAAAACTTGTATTTTCATTTATTTAAAAATTTTGTTTCATGTTCCATGTGAAATATGTGTGGAAAAATGCATATCATGAACAATGCTCTGTGAATTTTTTTCTTTCTTATTTAAAATTAAATAACATGAGCCTGTTGTCTCCAGTGCTGTCTGAGTATTGTAAATTACAGAAATTTCTATGATGTAAATACTTGCTTAATTCATAACATTCTGTTGTCCAGTTTTTGTTTTGGAACTTTTGTTTTTCTTGTTTTGCATTTTTATTTTGTTTTGTTTTCAGCCATCATTTTGTCTTATCATCTTCAATTCTAGAGCAACCTGACAACAATAATGATACTACTGAATTGGGCATCCTTGTCATTCCTGAGATTAGTATCACAAATGTGTCCGGAGAGAGAACCGGGAATGGGGAAAAAGGCAGAACACTAGGAGAGATTGATGCTCAGCATATGCAGGGTGTGCAGGAAACAGCCACAGATCCTAGAGCTGAGAGCAAAGGCTTGCCAGAGATCAGGAGGCAAAAATCTGTAAGAAAAATGATGGAGGATGGAATAAACTCACCTGGCAGAGTGCAGTTTTAGCAGAGCACTTTATAGCTGCACTCCAAGGTATCTTAAGGCAAAGGGCCACTGATGCATGTTTAGCAGCAGTTGCAGTCACAAAATTTTTGCATGTCTTCTAATAAAGTGCATGAATTATGCATCACAGTTTCTCAATGACTCCATGCTCTTTGGAATGGTTATGCCTATATTGTCTCTCAGTAAATTGTTAGGAAAACCGAGGCAGAAAATTGCTTTTGGAGCAATTTTCTGCTTTATGCTTTGGTAACTAAAATTATTTTTTAATTTTTATATTTTGTCATCTATTGTATGAATGATAATATAGATATTACTTTAATGTTTATCTGATTTTTTTTTATTAGTAAGATAATCCAGAATGGAGAATGCAACTTTCTAAGAAAACTCTTAAAAATATTCTAATGCTATTTTTCAAAAAGTTCTTCAGCTATATCTTTGATTTTTACTGCTTTGCTACTGGGGAAAGTTTTCCTCTCATTTTAATGTGTGATAAATTTTCTAATTGCCTCTGATCTTTTGCATGAATAATAGAGGAACTCTTTCTAAAACCACAGTAGGGTTTGGTTTATGGCATGCTTTATATTTAATATACTCTAAGTTACTGTCATTTAATTACAGTGAACCATTTTTGACATTTTATAGAATAAATTTTCAGTTCATCCTTTGATTTTGTTCTCTAATCTGTTGCTTTGTGAAATTATGCTACAGTTTAATTGATTTAAACATAATGGATTTGGTATTAATCTTTTTAAAAATTGCTTAAGAAACTTAATGTTAATTGATCTTTGTCATTTCTTTGTTTAGGAAATACTGAATTTACAGGTCAAGAAGAACTGATGGAGATATCTGAAGTTGACGAGGGATTTTATTCCAGGGCTGCCTCTAGTACCAGCCAGTCGGGTTTATCAAACAGTAGTCACAATTGTAGTAACAAGACAAGTGTAGGAAAGAACCAGAGACGGTCAGGAGGAAGCAAAACTGGAGGAAAAGAAAAAGAAACTACAGGGGAATCTTGTAAAGATCACTTTGCTCGAAAACATACACAGAGAGCCCAAAGTGAGAACCTTGAACTTCTCTCTTTGAAGAGACTAACTTTAACCACCAGCCAGTCCCTACCTAAGCCTAGTAGCCATGGTTTGGCCAAGACAGCAGCGACTGTTTTTAGTAAATCCTTTGAACAGGTCAGTGGTGTCACAGTCCCACATAACCCATCATCTGCCATTGGTTGTGGGACTGGGACAGATGCAAATAGGTTTTCTGCTTGTAGTCTCCAAGAAGAAAAGTTTATTTATGTTTCAGAAAGGACTGAACTTCCAATGAAGTATCAAGCAGGTCAGCAGAGACCACCTAGTATTAGCATTACTCTGTCTACAGATTAATTTGTAATATAGTTTTCTTCTTATAACCAGTAAATCTGGAAATATGACTGCTTCGTAATGAAAGTGCCCTAGTTCTTTCATGCCTGTTCCTAACATGAGCCCTTAAATTCTGAAGAAAGGAAATAATGTCTAGGTTGCAGTAAGTTGAAATATTATTTTGTTATTTCTTGGTTTGCCTCCCTCCCCATTTGAGTCTTTTCTTTTTCTTATAGTTGGGTTATCCTAAGATTGTCGTCGGACAATAAATGTTGGCAGATTGTCTGATCAAGTTGGTTACATCTCCTGTGATGTTTAGAGTTTGTTTTCAATACTTTCTATTTTGGTAGCTGTGTGTTTGCCCTTCACAGTCAAAGGGCATCTCCACATAAGGGAACTGGCTTATATGAGATGGGGCAGAGAAGTTCAGGAATTCCACAGCTGGCTTTTTAGCCAGCTGCCCTGGAAAACAGGCACATGAAAAAACAAAAATGATTACTATGAAAAGTGCTGATAAAAAAATGCTTACAGCCAGGTCATCTTTAAGATTAGAACAGTTTATTCAAAGCACTGGAAAACACCTGACAACTCACAGAGGAGTTATCATGTGATTATTATGTGGTTCCAGGAGATGGGCACGGGCATATCTGTTGATATCTTTGGAATATTTTTATATCAAAACTAAGATTGCTGGCAGATAATTTTGTTATGAAGTGTTTGATCTGGGTTTAGCAGGTGAAAATTCCTTTAAGTTCCTAAGGTATAATAGGCCATAAAGCTGATTGATCCTGCTGCTGGACTTTGGAAATCTGAATTAGTTTGGATTCCTATAATTCAGAGCACACATCACTGAAGACTTCCTGGAAATCATTGTAAATTTTGCAACACAGCTCTCAAGATACCAGTGTCAACTGTGTAATATTGAATTTTTACGTGCAAATGAAGGAAATTAGATAAGTTTTTCATCTGTACGATGTCACGAAAGAAAATATATAGTGAAATATAGACAAAGGACATTTATATATCAACTAATTTAAAGTTGTTTATGTTTGTCTTCTTAAATAATCTGAAAAAACGAAATGTATTTCTTGATTGTGAACAGGCCTGTTTTAAATGTTTTTTATGATATAGAAAGAATAATCAGTTACCCCCAGCCAAAAATAAGAATAAGAAAGGCAGTCAGGCAGAAGCTAAATAAATTTATGTAGCTACAAGAGATGGTGTGACCTCTAGATGGACGTAAAGGCTTCGTCTTTGGTATTTGCTAGTGGTAGCCATTGCAGCTATGGTGGAGGTTTTCTGTAAAGGAAGTATACTTAAGCAATAATTCAGAGAGAGGGAGAGAGAGGGAGAGAGGAGGGAGAGAGGGAGGGAGAGAGGGGGGGAGAGACGGAGGAAGAGGGAGAGAGGGATGAAGAGGGAGAAAGAATGAGACTGAGAGGAGGAAGCAAGGCTGAGGATGAGAGTAAGTAGTTAGGGAGGAAGGCCTTGGAAGCTGTACACTTGGAAGCGGCTTTCACTTTCTGTAAACAGTGGTTTCCTTATTCGTGGTTCCTGTTGTGGTCACAAAGAAAACACGCTTGTATTTCCCCCTTGTATTTGCTTATACACAGCTCAGATACAGTCTGTAAAAACTCATGTGTTGAACAGTGCCAAGCATTTACACTGAGTAGTTTTAAAAATCATAATTGCTTTGACCATAAGTTTAAATCCAATTCTTCAAAAATCATGAACTACTTTTCACTCATTAGCCTTGAATATAATGTGATTTTTATCAAGAATGAATCTGATATTTTTAGTTCTAGTAATAGAATGGGGTAATATCTATTGGAATAAATGGTAGTCAAAAACTGGAATTTAGAGTTGATTTTGTATTAATTTGATAGTAATCTTATATACAATTTAAAATATGTGCAAAATATTACTGTGAATTTCTTAATTGTCTTTTCCTAATTATTTAACAAATTTCCCTATGCAGAGTTACTAACAGTATTGATATTATGGTATTAAGAAGTAAGTTAAAGAGTTTGGCATTTTAAGCAAGTCACAAAAAATTAGAAATGTAGAGTAAGTTTGAAGAAACCTTAGCTGGCACAGATGAGAGAACAGATTTTGATATTCTACCACGGTAATGAAACTTGATTTTGGTATTATTCTAGACCTTTTCTATTAATATGGTCTGAGGACCAATAAGGTGAATTGGCATCACCAGACATTTTGGTAAAAATACAAGATTTCAAGACCAGACCTAGTGAATCAAAATTGGCATTTTTAACAAGGATCTCAAGTGATTTTTATGCATGTTAATATTTGAGAAGAGAGTGTAAGAGTACAAACAAATTACTTCTCTAATATGTAGGATTCTCAGTGGTCTCACAACCCTAGATCAAATAAATACTTATTAAATATAATATTTATCATTTGAAAGCTAATTAACTTTTTAATAGCATTGACTCATGACTTAGGTCTTCTAATTCTGAATTCCCAATCTTATTATTGCAATAAAAATGTGAATTTTATATTTTTCTTGTTCATCATAAATAAAATCACAGGTATAGATGCCTATAAATTTAAGTATGTGAGGTTGCACCTTTCATACTTAAACTTTTATACAGTGCACAACCAATTTGCATGTGTGTATTCTTTTTTTTAAATTTCTGAAGACCTCCTGAGTGGGGGTGTTTCTGAATTTTGGCTTCAAGTGATTTGCACCAGACTTTTTTGTAGTGTGGAGTTAACAACAAAATTCTTTCATAGTTCTGTACCTTTAATACTATTTCAAATAAGAATTATATACTGACAGCTTTTATTACAGTTATAAAAATTGGATAATATTAACTGGTAACAATGATTATTGTCCTTAAGACTCTCTCCATTCACCTTTTGTAAGGTGAGTTGGCTTTTTTAGGTCATATTCCTGTGAAGCTGCTAATGATCACAGGCCTCCTGTGTATCCAGAATAATACCTTTTATCAAGAGGAGTGCTCCATAAAACTATTCTTATGCACCCCATACTTGAAAGGATCTGAGCAGAAATTGAAGTTCTTTTCCACATTTTAAGCCTGTAGGAATTCTTGAAATCACCGTCTTACTCTTGAACCCCAACTGGCTGGGTTTTTTAATGAAGCTGGGCCCAGCACTGACCTTTTGGAATTCAAGTGGGGAGAGAAACAAAGTAGACTTTTCAAGGAAGTGTCCCAGAATATCCAGGACAAAGTGTCATTCTCTCCCTAAAACCATAGGAAAGCACTCTGGAGTCCCTTGTCCCATACCGTGGAACTTTTTAAGGCAAACTCTGTAAACTTGAAGAATAGACATTTTTAGTCCTTAAGTGACAAAGTTTGACATTTTTAGTCCTTAAGTGACAAAGTTTGTTTTGAAAAAGCAGTGTTTCATTGCCTTTTCAATTGTGAAACAACTGCTCAACAAATCTTATTCATTTTTTAAAAAGTTGAATTAAAGGGAAGTACATTTTAAAACCTATATAGATGAAAATGATCCCAGTTTAAAGGGGTTTTTCCCTATTTTGTAAGAATAAAACTAAACTGTTCAAGGTATTAAATCAGAGAAAGACAAAATGTATTCTGAGAATTACTTAAGACAATTTAATGTTTAAGTCTATAGGCACAACAAATCTATATATATTAAAGGAAAGCACATCAAGGCAATATATGTATGTTAAATGATGTGAAAAAATTACAAAAAAGCATTTTAAAAGGCAAATAATTTGATGAGTAATTAAATTAAGCATTGTAGATAGAAATTAATGTATAATAGTGTCTCCCAATCTTTGAATGAAAAGCTAAAACTAGTCCTTTGGTAAGCATGAACTTATATTTTTAGATTTGTTACTTAGTGAAATTATTCTTAATACATTGAGTTATTAAAATTTTTCAGTGTTTAATCCTTCACTAGAGAATATAAACATGTTGTCTTTGTATTTGTAACTTGTGTATATCTAATGAGTCTAGCAGTGAACATTTTTGAAGATAATTTTATGTTTTTTATAGTGGAGTTCTAAGAGCACCTGTGTCTTCAGAAATTTTGACTAGAATACTCAACATCCTACTTCACATCCTGTTAAATTCTCTCATATGAAATTTATTGTGTACTTCTTACCTTTACTTCTAACCATGTAGTGATGTTAATCTTGTCCTAGTAATATTCTTGCTTCAGATTGTATCCCTAGGGTTCACATTCCTAAAGAATGAACATGATGGAATATTTTTATGTATTCTATACCCTTTTAAGTATATAGAAATAAACTGGAGTTTAGTTTTTTGAAGTTTTGTATATTTGTGTAAATGTTCTCCATATGAAGTACTTTATATCGTGTTGCCTCTTGTGTTACTGAAATAAAAAATGAAAAAATATTTTTCAGATTATTTATTCATTTAAAAAGTTATAAAAAGTTGTAGATATCATGATATGCAGGGAGAAAGGACAGGAGAAAGACTTAGGTTAGTTGAACCCTTGTGAGCTGTTGGGGGTAAGCCACGGGACAAAGACATCTTATTCCCAGCTTTATTTCATTTACTTTTTTACATAGCCTAGGGATGAGGAGCAGAGGTCTGTTAGTGTTTATCCAAAGAAGAGACATCCCATGGCTCATGCAGCAAGTTGATTATTTGCTGTATCAGAAGCACAGGCAAATTGAAATAACATATCTTTGCCTCTTAACTTTAATGTGACTTTATCTCTTGAGTTCAGAGATAATGTGCTGCTTGTACTTGGCATAGGACTGTGTGCCTGAGGTGAATTGAGGCTAGCTTTGGAAAAGAATTGAAGGAATGTCTCTAATGTATTTAACAGTAAAAATTTGGAACTTCATTTGTTGGCTGTAGGAAATATCAGTTGTGTATACTTTGGAACGAAACCCTCTTTTAAAAATCTTGTATTTGGTTAATTATATATTTGAATAATTTCAGTTCAGCTAAGGAATTGATTTAGGAAATATTTTCTAAATTTCTCTTAGAGGAAAACTTGTAGAGAAACAGAATAAGAGCCAGCTTTCATAAACCTTGTGTTAGTGCTATGAAATGTGTACTCTTCTAGTTTGATGTACCTGATACAATCTGACTTTGTTAATATCAGCATAATTATTTTGTAATGATAAAAAGACTACAAGCAAGTTTAGTGACTTAATTTATCTTGTATGGCTGTTATGGTGGTAGTAATAGCTAATATTTATAACAATTATTGTTTCATTTAATACTCAAAATGATCTTACAATATGAGTAGAATCCCCATTTTGCAAAAGAGGAAACTGAAGCTCTCAGGAGGATAAGTAACTTGCCCTTGGACACCTAGGTGCTGGATGGCAAAGCCACCCCTGAACACAAGTCTTGACAACTCTCACTTTTATCCCATCTTTCCTGTAAGGTTAAATTTTAAAATAAAGTCAAAATTTGCTAAAACTAAATCATGGTAAATTTTACAGAGTTTGAAGTAGTTGTGTTTCACTGACAAACTGCTAGTTATTCTAATATTTAAAATATAATAGGGCTGGGGATTTAGCTCAGTGGTTCCACTGCCTGCCTCACAAGTACAAGGACCTGAGTTTGATCCCCAGTACCAATAAATAAATAAATAAATAAACAAACAAACATAAATAAAATGCAAAATTAAAATACGTTTTTTAAACCTGTCAGATTAATGCAGCTTAAAATGATTGGTACTAGTATTGGTACTAGTATAGAAGAAATCAGTCATTAAGATAATTGGCAGGACTACAAATAAATTGGTGGGGAATTCAGTAATATAAAACTTTAAAGTATACCCTATATCCTCTGATCTTAGAAATCCTACTTTTTTATGTCTATTCTACTTGATATTCTAAGTAAAATTTAGCTCAAATACATAAATATAAACATGCAAAGTATTCATTCTAGCATTGCTGGTAATAGAAAAAAGAAAGCCAGTAATCTAAATGTCCATCAATAGTAGAATGGATAAATTATGGTTCAAATTATAGTGGAATATAATATAGTTATTAAAAGGGCTGCAAATCTATGTATGTATATAGTATGATCCCACTCTCATTATAATGTGTGGAATAGTTGATATAGGTTAATAATATATATATGTCTAATACACATGTGTTAACTGTGTCGGGGGAGGAGAGCATTATTTTTCAGAGTATGGTCTGAAGACAGCCTGCATTAGAAAAAAAAAACACGTGTTTTTAAAAATGGAGATTCCTGGGCCTTGTGCTAATACCCCTGAATCAGAATCGCTGTGAGTAAAGCTTAGAAGACTTTATTTCTCATCAGTTTCCTCAGTTCAATATTTATGTGGTTTGGTCTACTAGCTGACAGCAATGAATTAGTTATCTATTAGTGAATTATAGTTAGAAAAGACTTCATGAAGAGATCTTGTATTTTAAATGGGGACTCCCTC